GAATTCGTATTTTTTTTAACAAATCAAACATATATAAATTCTTAAATCCTAACACATTACAACCAAACCTAAATTCGTTTTTTTATAACAAATCAAACATATATAAATTCTAAAATCACGAGATTTCATGCCTAAATGATAATCCTAACAGATTTTACAACAATTACAACAATCTAAAACTCTTCAATTACAAGAAAATTGTAGAAATTACCTTAAAATTGAGAGAGGAACTCGTGACGTGAAAGAGGCAACAGAGAGGGAGGGGAACTCGTGAAGGAGGCGAGAGAGAGACAGTCACGAGAGAGTCACGCACATAGATTTCTCATGCACATGCATATAGTTCCGAGAGAGAGAGATAGAGTGGCCTCTTTTATATATGGTTTTTTTGACGCAATTACGTCGCAACCCCCATAACCTAATTTTAACCCAATCAGATTTTCTATTAATTTAGACGCACATCCGTCGCAAAGCAAGGAAAATTAATTAAAAATTTGATGTCTTACCGCCAATAACCGTCGCAAAATAAACGCAAAGTAAGCGAAAAAACTAATTATTTTTGTTTACCGCCACATTCCGCCGCAACTTCGACGCAAACGAGTAAAACAAATTAAAACAAAATCACGAGGCAGCAGAATTATTTAATTTTTTTTTGTTTTACCGCATCAGTCCGTCGCAATTAAGAAGCAAATAAAGCGAAATTATTTAATTTTTTTTGTTTCATGTTTCGTCGCAATGAGGACGCAAATGTAGCAAAAATCTTTTCCATCGCAAAGCAAACACAAACAAAGAAAATTAATAACTTACATCTTTTACAATTCTCGCAAAAGCCACGCGAACGTGATATCCCACGCAAGTTTGACACAAAATATTAACGTTTGCGACTGATTGGCGAGAATTCGAAGCTTTTAGGCAGCAAAAAAGAAGCAAAATAGATTTAGGGCAAACTTAGGGTTTAGAGTTTAGAGATCAATCATACCCTATACCAAGCTACCAAACTAAGCGTTTCAATGTAAATTGATAGTTCAAACTTAATTTCAAGCACATATATAAGGAATTTCACAAATCTTCAAAAATAATCAATTGAACATAGTTTGTTGATATAGATACATGTACATTAGTCTATTACTTGAACAATTTTGTTGTTTCAAAATGATGTTATCAAGAACGTTCCATCGAACAATTTAGGGTCTATAATCACCGGTGATTGATAAACACACGAGAGACAGTATTATGAAACTAACTAGAACCATAAAATTTTAGGGTATAGGGTTTGTAATTTTGCTTCTGATTAGCGGTTTATCGCCGCAAGTTAGTCGCAAATTTTTAAATTTCGCCGCAAAGCAGTCGCAAATGTTAAGTTGAGCCGCAAATCCCTCGCATATCGTTTCAGGGTATCAATCTTACCGACGCAAATCTCTCGCATGAAGTTTTATCGACGTAAATCTCTCGCATGTTGAAATATATTTGCTTCGGATATGCGTCTCAAAGCCGGAAAAAGTCGGAATTTATAAGATTTTGCATTTTATACATGTTCTCTGAAACACATTTATTTTACAAATAAGTTTCATCGGTATATAAAATACCCTTATTAACATTATTATACATGTTTGGTAAACACACATTTATTTTACAAATGAGTTACATACTGATTCTGCATATTTTATATTTTTTAATGAAAAATAGAAGTTTTTTTTTTTAATTTTGTTTGTAATTAGTTTAAAGCTTGAATTTAAAAAAAAAATATGGTATTTTTTTGCAGCATTGACCTCTCTAAACCAAATAAGAAGTGATGGTCAAGATCAAATAACATAGATAAATGTGTGGCAATGAAGTAATGTACTCTAGTAATTCCTAGTAATAAAACTGTTTCCTCCAAATTTTTGATGGGCCATTAAGACGCTAAGCAATGCTATATACTCCAACTACGTTATTCGGTTGTATTCACTTTATCTCGAAATAAACACGTTAATGAGAAAATTGTATGCCACAGGCTTATACACTCCATATTTTTTTTTTTTTAAAACTACTGTAAAGAAATTTCGTCTTAAAATGGGTGTCATGTTTTATTTCTCCGTTTATATACTTGCTCCGGATGAATCTTTTTTTTTGCCGGCTTATGTTTGTAATGCACGTATGTAACACCCGTTTTTAATATAATCGAAAAAAAAGACGGTCCTAAATGTCTTTCCTTTATATATATATATATAGTTTTGTTGTTTTTGTCAGTGATTTTTTAGCAAAATCGCTGTACCATTTTTTTTTTGTCAACCTGTACCATTTATTTCTATGATAGTATAATAATAAGTCAACAGAGCTCATTAAATTCACCGATACAAGTACTAATTTACAAATTGAAAATTACATTTATCAAAGCAACCACCACATTCATGCTTTATATACCCCGGGTGAGTATCACAATTAACCCTCTTGAAAGTGTTAATTTAAAAAAAAAAAATCAAATTTAAAAAAGATGAAGCCTTATCTGTGAAAAACAGTGAAGCTTCGAAGGTGGTCGAGAATGGCGCTCCAAATGCAAAGAAAGAGCCCCGTCGAGCAATTCTTCGTCTTGTCTTTTCAGATTTAGCTGCTAAAGGACATCTTATGATGGCCGAGTCTCTTCGTCTTTACCTAGGAGCAGGCCTTCACTCATGTGAGTAAATTTTGCTTAAACATACAGATGCTTCTGTTTTATGCTTCTGTTGTATGTTAGTGTAATAATCTTATCGATCTGTTCAACTTGGTCATTAAAATGTACGGAAAGACCGAGCTAAAGTTATTTGACTGGTTATTCACATTATGTGGCACTAGAATCTGTTTTGTTTTTCTATTGATGTGCCTATCATGAAGCAAACCTGTTAGGGTTTTTAGAGTTGTCATGCATTTATAGAATCCGAAGGTTATAGAATTCACCATGTTGCAGTTTTCCATTCTCAGTTGAGCTTTGTAACCACAGAAGGATCATGTCTGAGTAAGAGTTATCACTTGTATGTAGGGGTTTACTTAAAGGGATGCAATATGAATGTGAACAAAGAAATTCCTGCTCTTTCACTTTCTCCATGCATCTTCAGGATTTCTGGAAAGGAAAAGGTGCTTGATAGAGGGACAGATAGGCTTGGCAATCATAACTCTATTAGAAAAAGCACTCATCCACTTTCCGGGTTGAGCACCAATTTGGATGTTGTGGACTGGTCTGTGCATGATAAGGTTGTTTCGGCTCTTTCATCTGGGGGTTTGGACGATAAAGGAGAACAAGAGAATGCCTATCAATTTAAAAATAAGAAAGGATTTGAATGCCTTACTCGCCTGTGGTCATTGGCACAGCTTGATGCTATTGCGTCAGTCAAAAGGGTTGATGTTAGTTCGTTAATTGTAGGAAGAGAAACATTGTTCCATTTTGAAGTAAGAGGGCTCGAATCTTATAAGTCCAGAAACTGGCAGCCATCTGTTAATGATTGTTTGGAAATTGGGAAGAAGGATAAAAATGTTCCTTTAGAAATTTTGTACGTTATGACAGTATCTGATGAGTCTACACTTGGTGATGAACTCGTTGTGTATGAGCTTACCTCGGATAGAAGTGAGAAGAGGGATAGTGTGGTGCATATTGAGCCGGTGCTTGAGAAGATGAATCTTGGTGAACCTATATATTTCTCTACTGCTAAAGAAAGACACTGCAATAAAGGTGTTTCCCCAGACATAGCTTCCTTGACGTGGATGGGCCCGATTGTGTCGGATGTTATAAAGAGTACGTGTTAACTCTCTTAGCGTCACGTGTTAACTCTCTTAGCATCATCTTGCTTTAACTGTAATATCATATATATGTAACTGTGAACAGGTCTTGTGTCATGCTTTCTGATAACATTGATTTTGCTGAAATTTTGTTTATATTCTGTGTTTAGATTTTGCAATCTTCACATGTAGGTTGATTTCTGTGTTTATTTTATCGCATGTGGAGAATTTTTTATGAACAG